TGTTTAAATGGGTTCAGATGGAGCTGTAGTCGGATAGGTGTAACCTAAGTCATCTGGATACACATGTAGTAGTGCGACTGTTAGTATGATGTAATTATTTATGAGTTGGATTTGATCAGGAACACAGTTCCCTGAGGGTATTTGAACTTGTTGGTTCTTTGTAGTTTTGATTTTACAGGTGTCTTATTATTTTTTGCGATAAGACAAGCAGTTTTAAATATTTGTAATAGGTAATTTAATTTTCTTGTTCGGGTCGACTGGGATAGAGTATCTCTTTGTGATATTTTTAAGTGAAGATTCATCTTGCTAGTAGTTGTGTACTTGAATTCTGTATAAGATATGTATGCCATTGTTTTTGTCTCTGTGTTCAATATCGTTATTATTTACTTTGGAATGAAATAATCTCAATCTGGTGGCCGATGAAGTAGTTTAACTGTTGTTAACTAGTGTCTGTTTTGCATTGTTGAGTTCTTTAAGGAAGCGTAGACGAGAGGATGAATTTTCGTGTGCTCACTTTAGGAATTTTTTTATAACCGCTATTGTATATATAAGTGGGCATTCATTCTTAAATTAAGGTGGCAAGAGATTCTGACATTGGGTTTTTATGTAATGAAATGGTAAAAGTGTTACTGTATTCTACAAGTTAAAGACAATTTTTTTCAAATGTTGTTTTGAGATTATTTATTTCTTGTTTGTTATTCACTAAAACAAATATATCGTTTACGTAGCGGACACACACACACACACAGACACACACACACACACACATATATATATATATATATATATATATATATATATATATAGTGTGTGTGTGTGTGCGTGCATGCGTGTGTGTTGTGTGAATACATGTATAATTCAACTTCATTTTAGGATGTCAAAAAGAAAATACTTTGTTAAAATTACATAAAACATATATGTGTGTGTGCGTTTTATGTAATTTTGACAAAATATTTTCTTTTTGGCATCCTAAAATGAATAGTTGAATTATATATGCATTCACACAACACACACGCATGCACGCAGACACTATATATATATATATGTGTGTGTCTGTGTGTGTGTTTGTATGTATGTATGCATATATACATATACATGTTTTATGATTATAGATTAAGATATATGCTTAAATACAAATGTGCATACATATTTACATTATGTTAAGAATTATTCATATATGTATAATACATCTTAAGATATATATATATATATATATATATATGTGTGTGTGTGTGTGTGTGTGTGTGTGTGTGAAAATAGAGAAAATAGGAAAAGAACGCGTTAGGTAAATAATCCAAAGTTCTTTAGTATTTTGTTATTATTTTAAAAAAACAGTGCTCGATACAAAATAGAGCCTAAATATAATTATTTATTTAAAATATGATTCTATCGCTACATAAGAGTTCTCATGTTTCAAAACAAGAGCCAGCTTCTTCGATATAATTATTTGAATTAAATTCAATTAATTTAAATTATTCAAAAAAAAAAAAACTTCGCTTGAAGATGGAACAGAGCTTGGTACTTTAATTGAATTTAATTCAAGTAATTATATTGAAGTTTTCAGCACTTGTTTTGAAACATGAGAACTCTTATGTAGCCATGGAATCATATTTTTTTAAATGAATAATTATATATATATATATATATATATATATATATATATATATATATATATATAAGGAGAGTGAGAGCGTGAAATAGATACATAGATAAAATCAGATATAAACAGGTGTGAAGATGACATTGAAAGCAAGAACAGGACAGTAACAATACACTGTTGATTCCTATGTCAACACTGTTTATACTTTAAAAGTACTATCAACACTATTGACCACTCTTCCCTATAAATACACCCATTTCAATTAAAATCTTCATATATATATATATATATATATATATATATATATATATATATATATATATATGAAGATATATATATATATTATAAAAGTACAGTGTATGTGTATATTTTGTGCGTGTGTATGTCCAAGCAACTCACCCGCTCCTACTGGTCTGATTTCAATGATTCATTGCTCATTCAAAAGCCCTAAGAAACGTTAGGCACAGGGAACGATTTTCGTTGACCTCAGATTCAGGATTGCCAGATTATAAAATATATAGTAATATATTATAATAGCCATTATCGTTGCTTTCATGGTTCAAGGGAAGTAACTTTTATTTCCTTTTGTATCCAAAATTACAGTGCACGTTTTATTATAATCTAGCTTAAAAGTCGCCCCATCGGGCGGCATTTAAGATAGCTGCTGTGGAGGTTTGACCATCATCACAATAGCTAGGGAGGAATAGAATCGATAGGCATCAATAAACTACAGAAGAACTCAAAATTGATCACTGCATTTAAGTATTGAATTAATGTTTAAGCTTACCTTTTAAAGGTTCAATGATAATTCTTTTGCTACCACTTAATTTTAAGACGATTTGATGTACGTAGGTCCTTACTTTCCGTACAAACAATTATTTTCATTCCATGGGTGAGAAAACAAGGGACAATTTATAAGATAAAATTAATATAGTGTAAAGATGGGAAATAGAAATTAGAATTAGTTATAGATTCAATATTTGAAGAGTTAGAGAAACATAATAGCTAATTAAGTAAAACATATTATGGAATCTATATAAATAAATGCGAAATTGAAGCTGAATTCACCCACGAATTCTGAGATTAAAAAAACTTGCGTTCTATTTTTATAGCGATTTACAGTCAAAATGTGCAATATCTTTATTATATATTATATACTTTTAGGCACTATCACTCATCATGATGAACTAATTTGCATATTGATTTTTAAAAACGTTATTTCATTAATTAACTGTCCTTCATTACTGTTCTTTTATTTGAAGACTGTTTTGATTTTCATATCAAAAATAGTCCAGTCTAGGAATATCGTCTTGAATAATGCAGAAAAGTGTTTGAAAATTGCATATTACTTGGCTTCAATAAGTTGGCATCTATTTGTAAAACTTACCTTAACTATAACAAGCCAATTTATGAAGGAAATGTTCATTTAAAATTTTTGTTTCAAAGATTTTAA